GGCCCCGCCGCCGCCTCGCCGCCCGGCACGCCGCTGCCGCACTACCTGGGCGCCTCGGTCATCATCACCAACGGCAGGTGACCTCGCGCAGGGCTGCCCGCAGGGAGAAGCCATAGGCCAGGCCTCGGGCTCCTGTTCTCCAGAGCGCAGCCGAGTTACGAGGGGCGAGCTGTATATGCACGGTTTAAATTAATTTATACAGAGACGACTATTTTAATAGAACGCCGCGGCCGCCTTCTAGATTTTTACGTAGATCCCACCAACGCCGGTGCAGGGGACTGCGGCGCGGCCCGAGGCTTGGGTGGCGCGGCGGGGAGAGAAAGGCCCTCCAGACCTTTGTTCTCCAAGAGCCGGGCTCCGAAGGGGCAGAGCTGAGCGCCCCCCGCGTCCCACGTGTGACCTCAAACTACCCCGTCTTGGGGGCGGACTTGGGTTCCTCACCCTGACATCAGGCTCGCGCGCCTCGCCTCGTCCCCGATGCTCAGTGGCGGTCCCACCGGGGGACTGCAGGAGCTTCCACCCCGGGGAGAGCCTCTGCAGAGGGGAGAGCCCAGCCTGATACAGTCAGACACGCCGGGCCGCGGCCCACCTGGAAGGGGGAGGCCTCCTGAATTCAGGGCGCCCTAGAGGCTTAAGGCAGGGTGTGATAATTGAAGTCCCACGCATCGACAACAACTCTGACGACTTTACAAGTCATTCACGAGTCTCATTAAAAGTTGTTGTCGTTTTAATTTAAGCCTTTTTTCAGTACAAACATCCGCAAGCCGAGGCCAAGGGAGTGAATGAACATGGGTGTGCCTCACAAGCACATTCATGAGCTTTTACTTCCTCCTAACCCCTGTGAACTCCTGATAGCACCAAGAATAGCACCTTCCGAATATATGGGATAGGCATTAAATGCAGAAATACAGAGAGCCAGATATTTTCTGAGAATGACACGTGGATGATGATGAGGTGCCCAAGGCGACTGGCTACCCCTGTCGGGTTTGATTGGGAGGCAACATCCCTCCGGCCCACACATACCTGTAATTCCCTAGGCTCGTGTTTGCTACAAGTAATGCTAATAAAGTTAGTTAAATTGCATGTGCAATATGGAAAATTGTCAATGGACTGCGCCCTCGTGGAAGAAAACTCGCTAGAGGGATGGTATAAAAATGGTGTATGCGTTTTCTTCAGCATTTTCTGCATAGCAAGAAAACCCCATGAACATGTCCTGTATGTGACAGGTGAACAGAAATCTTTTTATAAAGCACCAGCAGTGTTTTAAAAATAAACTTCCATTCATTTTTGTCTTACTTTTATATTTTTGCTTCAAGATTTCACCATTTAAAAATCCTACCATGGCTCTGAAATGGACTGATGCATAACCACCGTGTTTCAATTCGCTCCACACTCTAAACACTCCCTCATTGCCCTGTTTCAAAAATGGTTTTCTTTTAGGAAACTCTGCACCTTTCTGAGTGGAAAGATTTTTCACAAATGTCTTCAATTCATTGTTCTGGAATCAAGGCGCACCTATATATGATTGTTTGCAAAATGTGAAGTGATCGCTTGCCAACCTAGTGTCACACTGAGGGTCTGCCTCATTCTTAGCAGGGCATCAGTAGCCTTATGGTAGGGGTGACATTTGCAAATTTAGGAACATGCGTGATGCAGCAAAGGGACTGAGTCCTAAGAATCGAACGCATACACCTCTATACTGCACTTAGCTATACCTCATTAGCAGCTCTTTGTGCACACAGAAAATAAGCCTGGGGTATTATTTTTTTATGCTTACAAGTCTCATCATTAAACCAGGATTCCTGAAAGGTGCGGGTTTGATGAGCAGGCGATATCACCTGACATTTTTCAATAAAGTACCACAAAATGCGTTTGTGTCTACCTTGTTATTAATCATTGGGTCTGTGTTCATTAGTAAATACAAACCAAGAAGGCTTTCCAGCAGTTTAAGATCAAAGGTTACTGTGAAAAAATAAGACCATTATAGATTTGCAAATGATAACGTAAATAGTCTTAACAATGAGTATGTACTTGAAAAATGAAATGTGTACTTGGGAAAACTTCCTTGTCTAAACAAACATCGGGGTTTTCATAGCCTAGAACATGAAGGAAGATTCCTATGCAAGCCGGCTTCCAGGCAGCCGGCAGCTCAGTGCAAAGTTAACAGGAGTTACCATGGCAACCTAATATTGTTACCTCCATCTTTAAAAGTCTGCACATTTAAGCTGGGGCTATCATTTCTTGACTTCTGTGAGGCTCCGGCAGGGAAGAGGAAGCATTTTAATAAATATGACTCTCTTTCACAAGAGAAAGAAAGAAAAAGAAAGAAAAGAAAGAAAGAAAAAGAAAGAGAAAAAGAAAGAAAGAGAAAGGAAAGAAAGGAAGGAAATTGTAGTGGGTCCTAACACGTTGACAAAAATGCCAGATCAAAAGGATTTGAGAAATAAACCCAGTTCAAGACTGGCCGGGCCCTCCAAGGGGCCTCCCAGGGAAAGGAATTCCTTTATGTTCGTGGAAGCCCTTTCTAGAAAAGCCATTCCATTCATACCTTTGTAGAGAAGGGAACAGGGTATGAAGAAGGCTGTTCTGAGGAAATCTGCAAGAGCTGGGTATTTTGCACCCCTCACCCCCCAACCCTTTGTCCTTTTTAAAGTCCTATGACCAAGCCTTCCCCCTTGGACCCTAAGGGCGGGAGAGGTTTATACAGTCAATGAATCCTATACAAAGTCTACCCGAAGTTGTAATTTTGTTGTAACTGTAAGACAGTTAAGGTAGATTTGTTGTAACTGTAAGACAGTTAAGGTAGACTGTGGGGGCTGCTACAGATAAAATGGGATAAAAAGAACATTTTCAAATAAATGCCAGAAAATTACAGTAGTTTAAAATCTTAGTGAATTGTAGCCCTTGGGTTATCAAAGAGGCATTATTCAAGCTGTTCCTAACTTAAGTATGATATATAAGGTTAAAATCTTGGGGGAAAAAACTCAAAACAAAAGTCAAGCAGTTCTTACAGAAGAGTAAGAACAACTCTACAAGAACATAATCTGTTCTTATAGTAAGTTTGTTATATTAAATTTATTTTTCAATTTAAAATTTATATTAAATGGTTATATTAAATTTATTTCTCACCTCAGTTTAAAGGGTTTTTTTACTTTGGGTTTTGCTAACTTTCATTCTCTGGAGTAATAAAATTTTTCTTTTGTATGACACATAACACATTTGTCAAAAACAAATCAAAAACAACAGAAAAAGCACCCGACTTCTCAATACTTAGAAATACATACGTATTCCTTACTATGTAAAACTATTTATTTTGTAAAAATGTTTAAATATGAATAAAGATACTGTAACCAAGAGTAGTTGCCTATTTTTAAAAATAAAACTGTGGTCAAAATAACAATGAACACAAACTGTACAGAAAATCTTAAAAGTTTATTTTGGTAGACTTGCTTCTTATAGGCATTGGTTTAAAGTAATTACTTTTCTGAGGCGATTTTTCGAAAAGGTACAAATGCGGAGGCTTACACTTTTTAAAATTTCAGATGTGCATAGTCGTAACCCAGGAATAAGGATTCTCCGTGTTCTGACGGTAAAGAGCAAGCAAATCTTCCAGAATGCAAGCCAAAAATGTCTCCCTGCTGCATTCTGAAGCTCCTGGATGAGGCTGGCTTCTCTCCTGGTTCCCAGGCTCGAGGGCAGGGGCAACTACATAGGCCACCCCCAAGGGTGTATGTGCAGGGCCCGGGGACTGGAGGCCGCATGCTCCCCCCACCTTGGCCTGCACCCCCACCAAAGGCCCACTTGCTCCCACATCGGGCAGTCTGCAAGAGTGAACCCCACCTACTATTTTGGACTAGACACGAAATCCTTCTTCGCCCAGGGTCAAGGGGCACTGCTTTGGCAGGGGCCACGGGAAGGCCTTCTGGAAAATGTGTTTGAGGTAAAACTTGTGCACATTCAGGGGGCGCTTTCCCATGGCTTCCCCTGAAACCCGCGGCCAGCCAGGAAGGGAGGAAGTCTTGCCTTTTTTTTTTTTTTTTTTTTTTTTTAATAACCAGATAGATGCTCAAGGCGCAGCCTCTAAACTCGAGAGCAAATCCAGTGCCCTGGAAGCACATGCCAATCCTGAGTTCAGTTGCCATGTTTTAAAGACTATGAAGAAAATGCAACATTTCTGTTAAGACTTTAAAGCTCCTTGAGATCAGAGATGGCCAGGTGAACAAAGACCCCCAATCCATGAGGGTGGTGTAGCGAGTAGATAATTTCCCTACCACGAATAGCTCTAAGGAAGATGCTTTATTCAGCTGTTCTATATGAAGCAGAATTTCAAAAGTCTTTGGTTCATACGAGGCAAGATCGTGTTTACGGAAAACGTAGCATCTGCTTTAAGTCTATTTTGTCCCCCTCAAGACAACTGCGGGCAGCACAAGTAAGAAACAGTCTTGAAAGCACAGAGACCAAGCGGTATGCCCGGAACATCTCCATCTGCCCTGACACGGCCACACATCATTAGTTTTAATTTACAGAAAGGAAATTAAATGATAACATTTTTCCCCCAAAGCAGAACTGTCTAGAATGGGACTTCAGCTTAAAACAAAACATAGCATGTTTTTCATTAAAGAACCCCCCAAAGAAATTCAAACAGTAACAATGGCAGCTCTGAGAGATGACTTGCCTTATATTACAAAGTTTGAGAAATGAAACTTGCAACGTTAGCCTGGACATCTTTCCTCTTGATGATATTTTGCAGATACCCTCTCAAGGGGTGAGTCCACTTGGTGATTTTGGGGTGCTGTGGGCTTTTATTGAAACATGTCACTCGTTCCAAAAGAAGACTTGGACACTTAGGAGGGAACAATTTTTTTTTTTTTGAGAAAAATAATTCTAATGGAAGCCTTATTTGCAAAAATTACTTCTGAAATTCTTTTAAAGTTACATTTCCAAAAAACACATACTGGGTTGGTGTACTTAACTAAACATGCTATTTTTTTTTTTCCCCTTCCTATGGCACTGCCTGTGCCTGGCTAAAGGTAGGCAGATTTTATACTGAAAACCACAGGTTTCTGGAATTAGCCTGACTGGGTAAAGCTGGGTAGAGCTGGTGCTCGTGCACAATAAGGGGATTCTGTTCAAAGCTGAGGGCTCCATCAAGTTTTCCTTCCACTAATTTCAGTTGGGACTGGCAGGAAGAGAGAAAAGTGGACAAAAAATTGGCCTTTTAAGGCAGAAAAGTAATGTGTGTGATTCACAAGTTCAGCAGAGATAGGAGTGACATGGAAAAAGCATGGAGTGCATCTGGAAATCGCAAATGCATATCAAAAGGTTTCCTTTCTTTTGTTCTTCAACGGAGACTTTTAGGGCATCAGATCTTGAATATCTTCTTTTAAAGCTTCTCTCTCTCTCTCACACACACACACCCCTCCCTCTTAAATGATGGTGTTCGGTATCAGTTGCATTTTGTTTCTTGGCAATTTAGGGAAAGGGGGGCAAAAAATGATGACTTACAGACAAAATGCCAAGTACTTCTACATTCTGTGCACCAAACGTCTTTCAGGAATGCTCCAGATTTCAAAGTGAGCCTACAACGGGCTTAAAAGTTCCAAATCCTCCCTGGTGTGTGGTATGAGTGAGTCCTTGTCTCCAGCTGTTAGGGCCAATCATCAACCCCCGCAGGCACACAAGGCCTCATCAACGCATTAAGGATCTTGAACTTGAGCCCATCCCTTCAGAGTCTGCAGTACATTCAAACTTACGAAAAAGAGAGCTCATAAAATTACCGTCGAAGTAGGTAATCAATTTCCTCTACCAGGTCACTGCAAGCACACCCGTGACACCCATCTTAGCAGCTACTCAGGCCCTGTTGTGGGACCACAAACCACCGGGCCCAGAGGTAACGCTCAGAAGTCTACCATCTTTTCTCTTATTAACAAAAATATAAAACGACCAAGTGCCAACATATGTTCCTAGAGGAAAACGCCTCCCTGGATGCGCATAAACAGTGCTACCAAACCTCTACCTCATCGCTGGCCTGGACCTGGAAGCTATTTTTGATTTGTTTTTTAATAGTCTGGGAGTGAAGGTCTCCACTACCGGGGAAACATCTGAATTATTCCGTTGCTGTTTTCCAAATAAAAACTTTTTTGGGGGGGGGCAATAAACACACATCCAAGCCCAAGAGGGGAGAAGGATTTCACACATGTGGTGGTGCTTCACCTGAGCTAAATCTGCCGCTTGCCATCCCTCCGCCCCAGAACATTCGCGAACGCCAAGTAAAATGGCAACAGACAGAACAACATTAAGGAATTAAGCAGGTTAATTGGAGGGAGGCCACGTCTGCCTACAACTCTAAATCCGTTTTCCAGATCCTCGGGCTAGGAAAGGCAGCAGGAATTAACTGGAATGCTCACTGGGGTGGCTCTGCCGGCCCTCTCACTACCCGGTGGTCCCAGGCAGGCCCCAGGCCTGGCTACTGCTGTTTGGGGATGATCAGGTTTCTCAGCATGTCAAAGGAGTTGCCGTCGGGATGCACGGTCACCACCTCGCCGTCCTCCTCTTGGACCTGAAGGAACCCGGAGTCATCCAGGCCGACTATCCACACCTCCGGCCCCTCGAGGCCTCCCAGGCGGACCCGTTGGCCACTGTATGTGAAGAACAGCAGAGGGTCAGTGGGAAAGGCAATGCAGCGTCTAGAGACAGGTAGCTAAGTACTCACCCCCCAGGCAGAGGGATGGGCGGGGCCACGGGAAGGGGGTGGGCCAGATAAAATGCTCCGACTTTCACTGGTCCTACATGAACTGTTTTGATAACTATTAGAAGAATCAGGATGATGGGAATTCCAATAGGGAGTGTGGCCTTTCTCCTAATTCCGATAATCTGGATGATGATTTGCCCCACTTCCTCGCCCTCCAGCACTTTTAAGAACCACTGTGCATGGGGCGCCTGGGTGGCTCAGTCGTTAAGCCTCTGCCTTCGGCTCAGGTCATGATCCCTGGGTCCTGGGATCGAGCCCCGCATCGGGCTCCCTGCTCAGCGGGAAGCCTGCTTCTCCCTCTCCCACTCCCCCTGCTTGTGTTCCCTCTCTCGCTGTGTCTCTCTCTGTCAAATAAATAAATAAAATCTTTAAAAAAAAAAAAAAAAGAACCACTGTGCAATTCTAGGGGTTTGGGGAAAAAGAAACTGAGTTGGAGAGCCCATTTTCTAAAACGAAGCTGGTTACCATCAACAGCAAGTTAAAGTCACTCTAACACTGCTTCTTTTAATGTTTTCCATCCTTGTTAGTTTTGAAAATATAGGTCAACCCCCCCCCCCGCCACTCATTTTTATTTGGAAGAATTTAAAACCTACAGAAGAGTTGAAGAAATAGGACAATGACCCCCAGAATCCCCCTTCACTTATATTCACACCAACTGATAACATTTTCCATATTCGCTTCCCCTCTTCATGCACACACACATGCTTTTTTGCTGACATTTAAAAATAAGTTGCAGGCATCATCACACTTTATACTTAAATACTTCAGCATGTCCCTCCTAAGAACAATCTCCCACAAAACCAGAATACCATTATCACCCTCAAGAAATCCAATCTCCATATAATAACATCTAGTATAGAGTTCATGTTTAAATTTCCCCCATTGTCCCATTAATATCGTTTGTGGCAATTTCCTCCCATCCAGAATCTAATTATGAATCACATTTTGCATTTGGTTGTCATGCCTCTTTAATCTCTAACAAATCTCCGACCTTCTTTTTATTTTTTGTGTTTGAAGACATGGACATTTCTGATGCATTAGAGGCCTGCTGGTATTCACCAGAGTGCTTCTCAAGCTCTGGGTGCACGAGGAGCCCCTAGAGCATGTGTTAAAAGATGAATGATCAGCCAGCCTCAGTTTCTGATTTAGGAGGCTCAGGGTGGAACCTGAGAATGTGCATTTCTAACATGTTCCCAGGTGAGGGTGCTCCCACGCCCCCTGGGGATCTCACTTTGAAAACTCAATGTTATCTAGAATGTTCTACAATTTAACATGTGTCTGTTTCCTCGCGTTAGGCTCCACTTAAACCAGACACGTGGAAAACTCTCGGGTGAGGTTGTATCCTTTCCCATAGCATCCCACCAGCACGCATGGGATGCTGGTTCATCCTGGGATTGCTGATGGTAACTCGCTCAATGTGGTGGACACCAGTTTTCTCCATCAGAAAGGTAAAAAATAATTATCTAGGGGCACCTGAGTGGTACAGTAGGTTAAGCATCCGACTCTTGGTGTCAGCTCAGGTTGTGACGTTGGGGTCGTGGGATCGAGCCCCGCGCTGAGCTCCGTGCTCGGTGCGGAGTCTCCTTGAGACTCTCTCTCCCTCTGCGCCTCCCCCTGCTTGCACACTCTCTCTCTCTAAAATACATAAATCTTAAAAAAAAAAAAAATTACGTAGACCTGTGCTTAGTTTCTTGTTTTAAGATACTGAACTACTCACTTAATAAAGACACTTTAAAAGAATGAAGACGGGCCAGCACTGACCTGTGTACCCAGTACTTATAATAAAGGGGAAGAACGCCATTGGGCCCTTTGTCCTGAAATGTGTCGATCAGTTTCTCCAGCACGGTCACAGTTCTGGCAATGAGACTGTCGGTTCTTAAGGGCTTCAGCTCTGCCCTGTGCTGTTTATTGTATTCTGTGATGAGATCATTGATGCAGATGGTAGGGTTGCTGTTACTCACGTTAAATCCGCAGCCTGCACAAAAACAGTTGAAAAGCATAAGCGGCTCAACCTATTGATGGTCTCCCAAGCACCTGGAAGGAGTTACAGCCTTTATCCCCGACTCCCTGCTTCCTTTCCCTCATTTCAAATTTATCATGTCTGGCCACTTAAAGAATGACTTTTCGGGGCGCCTGGGTGGCGCAGTTGGTTGAGCGTCCAACTCTTGGTTTCAGCTCAGGTCGTGATCTCGGGGTTGTGAGACTGAGCCCCTCAGTGTCTGCTTAACATTCTTTCTCCTTCTCCCTGTGCCCCTATGCCCCAAGTGTTCTGTCTCTCAAATAAATAAATAAATCTTAAAAAAAAAATGAATGACTTATGTCTTTGGGACCATCTTCCTTTTCATTGTTCCTTTATCGTCCTTGTTTGAGGATTATCCCTGTCCACCCCAACCTTGCTGCAGATGGGTTGGGCAGAAAAAACCAGCCAGATTCGATTCAATGAAACAGAAGCTCTGAATGGGGCAAAGCTCCTTGCAGTGGCCTCTGAAACAATACTTCATGTGGTCTCGCCAAGAACTCTAGCTCTGCACTGAGCCCAATATAAAGTACAATCTCTTGTTTCTTTTCCGACTTGAATAACAAAAACACATGCCTGAAAATACAGAATTTCACTCGGGTCTTAAGGAGTGAACTCTGGATTCAGAGATTTCAAACCTTGGTCATGGCATAACCCTAGAACACATCTTTTTAATACGTTATCCTTGGAAGTCTTTGGTGCTAGGGTTACACTGCTGGCAAGGGGCCAACCCGTGTTCAGTGGCTCTTTTATAGGCTCCTGACCCAGGGCTTCAGGAACGGGAGGTACCAGCAGTGGGGTCTGAACAGGCTTGTCTCTGCCGTTACTTAATACCACCAACCCTCTCCCAGAGAGCTAGAGCCTTCGAGAAGCCAAACCTCAGTTTTCAGCAGGGCCCTGAATCAACCTCAAAGAGGTCTTCAATAAGAAATGAAATACTGCAAGAACTAAGCAGTGAGATGCTCTTGTTTTCAGTGCCTCCAAGGAAAAAACTTCTCCAAATACTTGCCTCTGATAGAATGATGACATTTACAAGAACAGTATTCTTTGGTCAATGTTCCGAGCCATTCTCAGTGTGAAGGGAAGGATTGATAGGCCTCAGATTTTTTTTTTTTTAAATATACTGGCTATTAAAATACTAAGCAATGTAAATTACATCTGGAAAAAAAAACAAGTAACTACAGCAACAGGGAAGAATCGGCAGTTGTCCATTTGTTCATTCAACAACACACACAGTATGGAGCGTAAGGCATTCAATTAAGTGCATATGGTGCTGAACAATCTCCCATATATTCAGAAAATTCAAAGTCCTGGGGAAACAGCAGCACTGACTACTGCCAACTCAGGCCATGTCTTTCCAAGGCCCAGAAAGCACCCCTGTTGGGGATCCTGACTCTTTCCCCAAAGACACCCCCTCTCCCCCCATCACCTCCTATGGCCTTAAGAACTTAATAAAAGCCATGAATTCTCCCTACAGGACCACGTTTCCTTTCCCCCATACTGACAGAAGCCATCCCTGGACCTCCTCGACATCTCTGGGCCCGACTTTGGGATATGTGCATCTAGCCTAGTGAACACATTTAAAAATGAGGAGAGCTTGGAGGCTACGAAGCAGTTTGCTCAGAATAATACTGCCCGTTGGTGGTAGAGCTGGAAACTTAAGCTTTGCACTTTGGGGCTGGTACTTCCCACAGACACATCATCACACATTTTCTGCTCATTACTCATTTCTGAACATTAAGTTCTCCTGGGCCTTAGGGAGAAGTGGATGCTCGGATGAGCAGGAGCCTGAGAACTTCTGAAATTGTTTCTGAATCCGTCTCCTTGCCTGATATGGACATGCTGAGGGGAAATGGGATTCTGCACCCCACTTGACCAGCCTGGAGCTTCTTCTGAAGGTCAAAAAAACAAAAAAACCCAAAAAACAAAAAAACCCCACACAACTTTTTCATGGCCTGGGAAGGTCCAATTAAGAATGCAGGAGCACCAGGAGCCCCATCCTTGCAATTAGCTTTCTTTCCTTATTACAAAATGGCATATTAAATGTTTATTTTCACCATTTCTGATTCAACAAGAAGCCGGCGTGTGGAGAGGTGCAATAAAAAACCTGTTTGATGTGGTACCGATTTGGTGGTTTCCATGGCCAGAGACAGGAACGCTAAACCTCTGCAAGGGGCTTTCAACCATCCGGCCTGCTTTGCATACATATTGTGCTCTGTGACTCAAGGCTCAAAGAAAAAGTAATCCCATATGATAATCCACTCCCCTCAAGGTAGCCATGTAAAAACCATTTTTATTTTTGTTTTTATTCATCTAAAAATGTGGAGGAAAGGCTATCACAACTCACCGATGAGTATATAAAATGTTTCTCCCAAAAGTGTCGAGTTAACCAGAACTCCACCAAGCTTCATGAGGTCACTGTAATAAATATCGTTGGGCCACTTCACTCGTAGGTTGATATCCTAAAGGAAAATCTGCACGTTAATCAAGCAATCGCGGGACACAAAGGGGCCGGGAGAGGTCATCCAGCTCAAAGGAAGATGAGCCGGATACTCTCGAATCTAATGGAACATGGGATCTCATCCTCGCTTCTTGTTCTGAGGGCTAATCCATTCTTTGGGACAATCCAGTGGTCAAGGACCACCTTGGGGCCGGGAGAGAGACCTACAGAACGTATCTGGTGTAAATCCTGGATTCTCTCCACACCCCTGCACTCTTCATTACCCCAGGCCAGGCATAGTCGTTTTTTTGTGCTTTGCTTTATTGTGCTTCATGGGCACTGTGTTTCTTACAAATTGAAGGTCGGTGGCAACCCTGAGTTGAGCAAGTCTATCAGTGCCATTTGTCCAACGGTATTTGCTCCCTTTGGGTCTCTGTGTCACGTTTTGTTAATTGTCACATTTCAAACTTTTCCAATCTTTGTTATGGTGATCTGTGATCAGTGATTATGACTTGCTGAAGGCTCCAATGATGGTTAGCATTTTTGGGCAATAAAGGATCTTTTAATCAAGGTAGGTACACTGTTTTTTTAGACACAGTGCTACTGCACACTTAATAGACCACAGTGTAGTGTAAACATGACTTTTATATGCACTGGGAAACCAAAAACTCCTTTGACTCACTTTATTGTGGTGATCTGGAACCAAACCTTCAAGATCTCCAAGGGGTCCCCATGTCAATGGCCACCCCCACTGAGTACCTATCGTGTGCGGGTGAGGGGGGAGGCAGGGAGACCGAAATACGCTCAGGGTTCTTTTTCCTTAAGGAGCTCATGCTCGAGAGAGAAAGATGCCCCAAATTAACCACTGTCACAAAAGCTGGGTAGAAATATCTCAAGTAGAATCCTAGAGAGATATAGAGAAGGAACCCGGTTCACTGGATTATCACCGAGGGCCTCAAAGAATTGCCAACAGTCAACTGGAAATAGAAACTGATTTGTTCTGCGGCTCACTGCCTCTCCATCCAGAAGCAAATCTGGGCAGCCCGGCCTGGGGCCCTCGGTCACAGTCACAGTGGAATGGTCCAAGGGTGGACCCTGCCTTGAGCTGGTCCCCCCAGACCCCCAACTCTTGCTGTGATTTTTAAGCGGGGACACAGAGACTGGGTGAGACTCAGTGGGTGCTGGAACTGCCCAGCCTCCGGGGCCTGGGGCTGGCAGCCAGGTGGTCCATGTGTGGGTAGAGGAAGAAAATCTGGAAGAAAGACACTCAGCATAATAAACCAAAAGATTGCAGCGTAGCAGGTGGCCTCTGATCCCACAGGGCTAGCTCTTCCGTCGCTGAGGGCCTGCCCGGCCCCGAGCCCCATCTCAGCTCTGGTCTGTGTGTTACTTAACACCAAACCCACATGGCGGTACTAGATTCACCTCTATTGAACAAGGAAGAAACTGAAGCGGAGAGAGATGGCCAGGCTTGCTTGAGGTTACACTCGGAAGCGGCAGAGCTGGGATTCGAACCCGGGGCTTTCTGACACCAGGCCCTTGGGTGCTTAACACTATGCTACCTACGTAGCCTGCTGCTTCCAAGAATTCCCTTCCTTTCCCTCCGACAAAGCCTTCTTTGTATGGTGGCCAGTTAGAATGCGTTTCTGTTCTTCAGAAGGTCGTCTGCCCTAGCATGTAGCGCTTGATGGTGAGGGGAAGAAACGCAGAAGCACCAAAGAACAAAAGCATAAATAAGATGCGGGTGTGCGCCATGACCTCTAACTGATAGGGAGCTTCATATTTTTTTCTGTTTCAAGATGAAGAGAAAGGCTGCATGCTCCTTTTTCACCATCTCAATGATTTATTCAAACAGCTGCGGTGGCAGGCCTCCCAGGATAAAGCACCAGGTTAGGCCCTTTGGGACCAACATAAAACTAACCGTGCATTCAAGGAGCTGGTTGCCTTACAGGAGATGGTACAGGAGGACAAATAACCCTGCTTCCGAGCAATCCATGGGAGAGACCATGAAAGCGGCTCAGAATTTCAAAATGCCAAAAGGTTAGTTAGAGGAGGGAGTTTGTAGCTAGAAGTTTCTGGGAATGGCACTGGAGCTGGGCCTCCCAGGGCAAACAGAACTTGCAAGTGCGGGGAGGAGAGCAGAAGCAGGAATGTGGGGGCGGAGGGCTCCAGGCGCCCAGCGGGGACCTCTGAGACAGAAGGAACAGAGGGTCGGACAGCAGGCAGTGCAATGAGGGTTCTGGAAGGAATGGCGGGCATTCCCGGGACACCGCCTCTGGTCCAGGGAGACGGGCACGATCTGTGTGCTGACGGGACATCTGGCCGAGGATGTAAGAAAGGCAAACTCTATGCAACCGGGGCCTATTCCAACCATCTTGGAGCTGTGCTGTGTAGGCCAAATGGCTCTGTTCAAAAGAAACACTAAGGGGAAGGGGGCAACTGGGAGACGGGCACTAAGGAGGGCACGTGATGGAATGAGCACTGGGTGTTGTAGGCAACTGACGAATCACTGAATTCTACCTCTGAAGCTAATAATACACAATATGTTCATTAAATTGAATTAAAAAAAATTTTTAAAAAACACTAAGAAAGTAAACCTTTTTTTAAAAAATTTTTTTATGGAGTTGTCTCTGTATCTTTTTTTTTTTTAAGATTTTATTTATTTATTTGTTTGAGAGAGAGCACGCGCATGAGAAGGGATTGGGTCAGAGGGAGACGCAGACTCCCTGCTGAGCAGGGAGCTCGATGTGGGACTCGATCCCGGGACTCCAGGATCATGACCTGAGCCGAAGGCAGTTGCCCAACCAATGAAGCCACCCAGGCGCCCCTAAGAAAGTAAATCTTAAAAGTCCTCATCAAAAAATGTTTTTTGGTGACCCTAGGAGGTGAAGGAGGTTAACTTACTGTGGTAATCAGTTCATAATATATGTATGCCAAGTCACTATGCTGCACACCTCAAACTTACACAGTGGGGTCTGTCAATTCTATCTCAGTAAAACTAAAAATAAAACAAGAATAAGCCCAACCCCTAGCCGAAGTCACATCACACAGGTGTGACCGAGCTGCCCGACTGCAGACACAGGACAGGAACTCAGGTGGGAGCTCCTTAAGGATAAGGAGGGACACACGCCCATCAGGTGCAGCCCCCCCCCACCGCCTCCGCTCCAGGGCAAGCTTCCCACCTCACATCCTGCTGCCCGCAGTGCCTGGCACGGCCTCCTGGCTAGCAGGCACTCAGAGAATGCTCGCTCAGTTAACAAGCGAGGCTGCAAGGTCACAAAGCCAAGAAAAAGCTAAACAGATTAATTTAAATTTTAAATTTTATTTATTTTAATTTTTTACTTGTTTCCTACCGTTTTTTAATTTCCTTTTTTAAATTTAAATTCAATTAATTAACATACAGTGTCTTATTAGTTTCAGAGGTAGAGTTCAGTGATGCATCAGTCTTATATAACACCCTGTGCTCATCACATTGCATGCCCTCCTTAATGTCTATCACCCAGCTACCCCATCCCACCCCGTCCCATCATTTTATTTTTTTTAAAGAAGTTAATAATGCTTTATAATAGTTTGCATGGAATGATTAATACTATTTTTGCATGTTTTTCTTAATATTGTTCTTCCTTTTTTTAGAAGATAATGTTTTATAATAGTTTGCATGAAATTAATACTATTTTTTGCATGTTTTTCTTAGCATTGTTCTTTTTTTAAAAATTTAAATTCAATTTAGTTAACATATAGTATATTCTTAGTTTCAGGAGTAGAATTTAGTGATTCATCAGTTGCATATAACATCAGTGCTTGAGGGTTGCTGGAGGGGGGGTTGGCAGGGTGGGGTATGGGGTTATGGGCATTAAGGAGGGCATTTGGTGTAAATTTTAATTTTTTTTTTTAAAGGCAGACACTTAACCGGCTGAGCCACCCAGGCATCCTGACGTAAATTTTAAATTATTTTCCTAAGACTAATGAACCTGCCGCTAGGGCTAAAAATATTTCCCCCCACAACAGAACTTTATCTTCTCAACTGCCCTCTATGAGGCAAAATGTCTAGTTCAGGGGCTGCAGGCTGACCTGTGAAGGTGTGTGACAGTCGGATGAGCCCAGGCCCTTGGGATACAGAGCGCAAAGATGCTGAACACTGGTCATGAATGTCACCTTTCAGTGTGCGTGTCAGGGGCTTGATGTGATTTGGGAAACACATACACGGTGACCATGAGGACATGACCACATTGGAGGGGAGGACTGCTTCCCTGTTAAACATGAGGACAGGCCCCTTTGAAAGTCATCATCTTAGCCTCTCACTTCAGGAATTAATACTATAATTGTGTTCGGCCTGACAGAAGAAATGTAGGTAGGAGGGAGGCCCGGGAGGACCCATGAAATTCGTCCAAGAAAACTGCATTAATCACCCTCTTGTTGCCTTACTAACTGACACAGCAGCATCCGATGGTAATGATGAAGCACCTCTGTCCCTACAGCGGGGAGCAGACACCCCAAATGAACCTGCACGTTGAACCTGGGCAGCCACAGACAAGGGTCGTTCTGCTAAGCATGGACCGTGCTAAATGAAGATAGGGAATGAGAAGGTTGTTTAGGTCCATACAATAAGCCTTTTCGCCAGAAAACACAACAGTGTGGTATGTCAGTCCAGTGTGCTTCAATTAAAGGGGGGGGGGAGGAGAGGCTTGAGCAATCTGACAACAGCACAGAAAGGGAATTCTGGGAAATAAACCCATCCCGGCGACCCCGGAGCCACGCTATGAGCTGACAGTGCTTTTAAAACTCCAGGAGCACTCTGCTGCCTGCTTTGCGAAGGGCAGCCTAAAACTCTACACACAGCGGTCATTCAGATGCATCCATACACCAACCTCAACTGAGATCTGCACCCGGGGTGGGCAAATCGCACCTACCTGGTACTCAGTGATGGACCTCACCGCCTCCACCACGGCCAGGGACATCAAATGCTGGACGAATGGGATTCTCTGTCCCAGCTGGGATCTCAGTGGGATGGAGATGAGCAGGGTGGACAAAGCGCATCCCATGGGGCTCAGCCAAGCGTTTGCTCCCCGCCCTGGAACACAGAGGGCCCCATCAGGAGAGTGGCCACCCTGCCACGTGAACAGTCAGATGCATGCAGCACCCGAAAATGGGCCCAGGACTCGGAGCCCCACGTGCAATCAACCTGCACTGATGAAGATGCTTGGAGGTTCTGGGGTTAACTCAAGAACAGAGAAGCGTTTTAAAGTCTGGCGCTGTGTTCCTGAACAAGTGTCTGATAAGTAGCTGAATGTTCTGCCTCAGTGAGCACATCATTTACGCTTTGATGATTCAAAGTCCTACAGGGTCTGAACATGACTGTCAGCTTAATTGTCACCATCTGGTAATGCTGGCAAAAACAGAGACAGTGGGGAAACCGGGCTGAGTCTGTCCTGGTCCAGGAGAGGTCCTGGACACCACAGTTTAGAAGTGACCCGTATTGTGGTGATGGTCCCACAACCCTGTGAATATATTAAAAACCCCAGAATTGTATACTTTAATTGGGGAACTGTATGGTCTGTGAATTATATCTCACTGTTATACGGGGGGAAAGAAGGAAGCAGATTTTAAAAAGTAATCCCTGATATTAACTCTCGAGATTATTTTTCCTAAAATAGAAGTCAAGAAAATAAAATGCTCAAAATGAGAGGTATAATCCAAAAATGAGAGGTATAATCCAAGTTCTTCTACGTTCTTTTTTTTTTTAACCACCGTATTGAGCCTCCCACCCCCAGCTTTGGGTAAAATGAATTTTCTCTTTGAGTTATGTTCAAAACACGCCTTCAAAGGAAAGAAGTGGAAAACAGTGGATTTCTTATTTCGTTGCTCCTTCTGAGAAAGGCATAAGAGCCTCTGAGAGTTAAAAGCACATTTGGGTTGGCCTGGCACTGGCGGGGGCGTGGGCCAAGTGCCTCCGGCAGGACCACTAAGCACAGAGTCTGCTTGCGGTTGGACCCCAAGTGGATTCTGGGAGGATGCAGGCTCTCGTTTCTGAGGGTCTCAGGGTCAGCAGGTGGCAGAAGCTCGGATCAGCCCTTGGCTTCTCTGTGGTCACTTTGTGAAGGGGCACTGACCACTAGTCATGGAATTTCCAGTGCGGCTGGGGTGGGGGCTGGCAGACGAAAGGGCTCTCCATGGGACACTCAACAGGAACCCAGAAGGCACCTCCCCGAGAACCTTCGGGCAAATAAACGTCTCTATAACACAGTAACGATTCACACACTGCAATGCCCAGAATGTGTCAGAAAGAATTTACAAGATGTAGGTGATGGTATGTTAAAACCATCCCCAGCGAATGTCCAGTGATTAATAACCATCTCCGCTGGAGAGAAAGCTTTAATTCTACCAAGACTCAGTCTTCTGATCAATTTCCCTCCCTCTTCCTCCATTTTAGGGGGTGTGAAAACAAGCACTCTTAATGGGAGTCTTCTCCGTGATCAGCACACACAATCAATGGGCAACCTGGCCACAAGGAGTCACAGATTTTAAAGAGCAGAACAACAGAAATGATAACAAAAGATGACTGACCTTTGCCCTGCGTTTGGCGGACTGCGATGGCTATTAACCCCATTTCCTGCGGGATCTCAAACATCAATCTGCAAACGGTGGGAAAGACTGGTCAGCCAGAACAGGGACATGACAGCAGAGCCTACGGCTCAGATGAAAGGAGGACCCTGTTCGTACTCATCTGCGGGGATGTGTGGGGAAGAAAAAGGGCCATTTCCCAGGTTTCGAGGGATACTGACCCCATTCCCAGCCTCTGTAGTGATAACGAAGGAGAAGAGACAAAGAAAACACCATTGAATCAAAAAAGATTGGGGTTGGGGTGCCCGCCTGAGCTGTTAGTTCATTTAAGATGTTTGATTCCATTTCTTTGGAATATCCTATCGGGAAGTTCTTTCTTCCCCCTCTGATGTGGTGTCCCTTACTCCGAGTGACAACTAGCAGTTCTTGACATGTGTTTCTACTTACGGTGCGATTCTGTCCAAACACTAGACCATAATCATAACAGAAGTTTCTGATTATTCAGAAAGCCAATATGGTGGCAATAAAGCCGTTTAAAAGATACACTATCCCCTGAGAACTAATTACGTTTTAACTATAGTAAATAAATCTACACCTTCTGAGAAGTCCGGAGAACCGTGGATCATTTTAGGCTTGAGTTCTGCTTTTAAAATGGTTTCATTTAAAAGAACGCAAACTTCCCTTTGGGGATAGGCAGAAAAATGCCTTATATCTCCACCAAATGAATCAACATTAACCTTTTTTTTTTTTTCTTCAGAAAAGGAAAGGGGGTGGAAAACAATCCCTCACACCGAGAATTTCCTCCCAGCTACTTTCTACATATTTTAACTCCATGTTAGGAAGGCTTTCCTCTGCATTCCCAGAAGTTGCTGACCAGGTACTGAGTGGGCACGGTTCATGGTGGGATTTATTAAACAGAGCCAAAATCGGGTTGGTCCACTGTCCGTGCAGCTGCCGGGGACTCTCTGAAATACTTTTGGGGGAGGGAAGAGGCAGGGGAGGGAGGATGGAGAGATGGTATTTGTAGGACCTTTCCAGTAAGAGTTTCCAGGGTTACATAGCACCGCCCGAGCCAAGGAGAAAGGGCCCTGGACCCCGCTCTGGTGGTTCTTCAGCTGCTCTCAGGGCTCGGGGCAGGGAGTGAGAGGTCTACACAGGGCAAGAGGAGAAATACACTTAAAAGCAGAGAGCAACAACACAGTGCCTCCCCGCGCACACTGGCCAACAGAGTTGGGCACCGGTGTGCAGACCGCGGTCACGAGGAGCCCAGAAGACCCCTTCGCTTGCAAAGAGGAGCCTGGCCACGTCGGGAGGGGGCCGGCGGGTCCCACAGGCACAGGGCATTCCCAGCGAGCAGGCTGCCTTGTCCATGTTTCATCGTACAAGAAGCACAGCTCCAGAAGTATTTCTCTTGGACACCATGAATAACCCATTGAGACCAACAGTTCCTATACACTGGTGGGCTCCAAGAATAAAGCGTCCTTTTCTTGGGTTGGACCAGCGGAAAACAGAGAAGGAATCTTTGTCTGTGCCAAGACATTAACACTGTCTTCTTGGAGCCTCATGCTTTCCAGAAAGTTCCGGCAGCCCCTCACCTGGGCTCCGAAGGCTTCGGGTGGCAGTTACATTTTTCTAGGGGAGTTGGGGGGGGGATGATTTAGCACACTGTGAGCAGACTGCAAAAGCCCTTCTCAATGGCAGGCCATCTAGGATGTTCTTTAAATAAACATGTAGACAGTAGACAGTCATGTCTATAAGCCAGTGATGGTGATGGTGGAATTAGGCGAGGGGGTGGGGGAGGTTTAGAAACCAACACAGACTTCTAGAACAAAGAGAAATGATTAAGGGAACATATGCACTCAACTGCTGGAGGTTTGGCAGCAGTTAACAGGGCATATTGATGAGAAGACGGAGTTTGTGCAGCTGAAGGCCAAGAGGAAATTTCTGCAGGAGGGGACAACAGGGGAGGGAGGTAATGCTCAGTTTGAGACAACTAGAGGCCGTCAGATTTATTTGTGCTATCTGAGATAACTCTGGGGGCCAAACCACACGGCTCATGGTCAACAAAGAGGCATTTATGAACTTCACGAATTTTGCATTTCTGAAATTGAAGTCGCCGGAGTTTGCTTTAGCAAAGGAGACACCATAAATGCCTCTCCATCCCGGGCTGATGATGTTCTCACAAAAGGAAACAGGAAAACAAAAAAAAGAAGAAATAGGAGGGGGTAACCTAACGATCGGGTCCCTGCTGCTGTGGATTTTCTTTCCTCGTCTGCGAAGGCTGTGGAATGAGAGGTTTCTGTGCCCGGCAGCTCAGCGCGCTCCCTCGAGTTTACCAACGGGGGGTGCGGGGAAAGTGCTCCGTCTTTCTACTCTGCTCCTGCGTCTGAAACATCCAGACCCGAAAGGGTCACTTTGTCAATGTGACCATTTTGGTTCCCGAGGACATCACAGCACCTCGTGGGTGCCCTGCCAACGGGAACGTCCTGAATTTCACCAGGTGGTTGGAGTAAAGCTTTAAGAATTAAGACTAAGCTAGGAGACAGGCCAGTAGGAACCTGTGTGAAAATTCTGAATGAACAACAATTTAAATTCAGACCCAGTCGATCCATTGGGGGGGATTCAAACCTAAGGAAATGGTCCACATTCACCACAGTGCTATAAAAGTAAAAATGTGGCAATCACCTAAGTGTCCAACAGGTAAATGTTGAGTACACTGTGGTAGGTGAAGTCAATGGAATAATTCACGGTCATTAAAAATGATAGTTATCAGGGCGCCCGGGTGGCTCAGTCGTTAAGCATCTGCCTTCGGCTCAGGTCATGATCCCAGGGTCCTGGGATCCAGTCCTTCATCAGGCTCCCTGCTCCGCAGGAAGCCTGCTTCTCCCTCTCCCCCTCCCCCTGCTTGTGTTCCCTCTCTCACTGTGTCTCTCTATCAAATAAATAAATAAAATCTTCTTTAAAAAATGATAGTTATGAAGAGTATGTGGGAAGAAATGCTTGCAACACTCTGCTAAATAAAAAAAAAACATAAAAAAAACTACATATACTTTTATTCCAACGATGTAAAATTCATAGAAAAGGGAGGGAGGGAGATTTACTTAGGCTTTATTTATTATTTATTAGGCCTTATTAGGATGATTTTTTCTTTGTTTTAAAATTTCTTAAAGATGATTGGTTACCCTTAAAAATTATTCTGAAAAATTCTGGCCAAAAATAAGCATGGTTTTTATGTTTAGATACAACATATCTAAACTACTGTTCGTTCAGTAATTAATTCTTCAAAAATATTTCAAGAAAAGAACTAAAAGATCTGCTTTAAAATTAAATAAGACAATAAAAGTTATCTACAGCACCCATTTTATTATGAACAAAAGCTTATTTGATAGTATTAAGGAGTAGAAATTCTTAAAACCAGTCTGTTCATATGCAACCAGAGCCTTAAAAATTTTACACCTTCTGACCCAGTGACCATCCTTCCAGGAATGCATCCTGAGGAGTATTCAGACGGGGAAACAAAATAATTCAGGGGCACAACTATTCATCACAGCCTTACAATGTGAAAAATCGGAAACAATACACAAAAATCATAGCATCCTCCCATGAACAACTATCATGTAGCAATCTGTGATAAAGCCAAAAAGTCCACTGGACTCCATCGGGTGATTTAATCAGGAGGCAAAACCCTACACACACCATGATTCTAATGACGTTTTAAAATATTCTTTTTACAATTGTTAAGAAATACAGCACAAGGGGCACCTGGGTAGCTCAGTCAGTTAAGCATCTGCCTTCAGCTCAGGTCATGATCTCACGATCCCAGGGTCCTGGAATCGAGTCCCATGTCCAGCTCCCTGCTCAGCGGGGAGCCTGCTTCTCCCTCTCCCCTGGCTTGTGCTTTCTCTCTCTCTCAAATAAATAAAATCTTAAAAAAAAAAAAAATACAGCACAATATTAGCTCTGGTTATTTTGAGGAGTGTGATTATTTGAAAAAAATTCAGAAAAGTACAAAGCAGAAAATAAGTTCCTCTTCTCATTAAAAGTGTATATTCTTCTAGACTTTCTCCCCTTTTAAACAAATACACAGATATATTTTACAAAATAGGTTTCTGATGATTGGAGAAATTCCTTACTGTGAAGCTCTTAAAATAATGATGCTATGGAGGTATAGTTCTGGACATTCTTAACACACTGATGATAAAGAGGGAACGCTTGAAAACCACACGTTTGGTCCCGTTTATGTAAGCTATTTCTTCCTGCGTGCATTTCTAGAAGAATACAGGACACACGTCAATAGTGGTGGTTAATCCCCGGAAGGTGGGGACGTAAGCGACACCTCGTGATCTAAATTACTTCTTTACGTTGTCCCCTCTAGTCTCTGGGGGGGCAAGTTTCCAAGCGGCTTTTATTTCCTTCTTTACACTTTTCTGACTTTTCCCGTATTTCTACACTTGGGGTGCATTCATTTTAGAGCCAGGAAAAACGCTATTTTTAAAAAGATGTATTTAAACTCAGCTTTGCTTTAAGTAGGTTAAGCATGAATCTGCCAACTCACTGGGTGAACGATCTCATCTCTTCGGGGAGATGGTAGGTCTGCGATACAAGAGCAGCCAACTGGCTGAGCTTTTTTGCCAGGCTCGCTGGATGGGTCCCCCATAATGCACGCTGTGCAAGTTCGGCCATGCCTGTCCCTTGCTCTCCTTCCCTGGGGAGCACGTGCCCTGTGCAATGGTGACAGGCTGAGTCTGCTTACTGTCCCTGCACAGACTGGGGAGACGGCATGTGGCTGCTGCCATCCTTCATCAACTTGTGTTCTTGATGCACAAGCTGCACCTTTTCTTTGATGTCTTCCCCCTCTGATAGTTTCAGCTCTGACATCTCCTTTATTCCTAGTGTTCAGAAAGACACATTCTCCGACAACACCCCCCTACCCCCCATGCTTTCTATATGTGAAAAAGAACCCAATTAAGGGACCAGGGATGAGGCAGAAGGAGGAGGACCCAGGAAGTCAGACGTTTATAAGTCCCTATTTCTGATTTTTAAAGACTTCACTGGAAGATAAATTCCCGCTATGCATAACCCCACTGACATCTGTGTAGTTCAAGGAAACAGTGCTGGACTTCATTTCAGAAACTTTAAAAAATATATTACATTGCAAACGCCAACCATCATATTCAGGCAGTACTCTTTTTAAAGTTAAGCTAAAATATCAAGATATTTTAGTTCTTCAAAAGTCTGATTCTATCAGTGCAATAGATTTTTTTTTTTAAAGCTGCCTTCGATGCAAGAGTGAGCAGCACTGTTTTTAGAAAAAACGCATAGCGGTTTTTGTTAACACCACCATGTGAAATGGAGCAAGGAGTGTGGAGGGCTCTGTGATGCACGGGGATGCACCGGAGACTTCTGAACAGGCAGCTAGGCATGTGGGCACAAAGCTGGGGTTGACAGTCCCAAGGATGCACGGTGCCACCCAGGGACCCCGGGGGTGGTGGTGGTGGGGCTATTGCTTCTGGCAGGAAAGGAAAGTTCCCCAGGAACTTTGGAAACACCCCAGCAGAGCAGAGACTCAGACAGAGAATCAGATCAAGATTCAAATTCAAATCCCAGTGTTGGCAGAATTAACATCGAGGAAGGGGCTCCATCTCCCTTAATCTCTCCAGTCACCCAGGAAACAGAACACTTGTTCGGGTGTCTGTAAGAAGGAAACAGAATACATGCGGGGGTTGAACCAGGTGGGTCCTTAAATACAGCGCTTTCTCTTTGTTCTGTGGATCCTAGAACTTCTTGCTGTCAGAAGACCTCCCATGACCCCCTCTTGGGGATAAAGAGGGTGGCCCGGGAGAGGGCGGAGCAGTGGAACGTGTGTGTGTTTTAGGACTCTTCTAAAATTCTAGAGATGATGCCTATCCTCTGTATGTCTCCCCCGCCCCGTCTCCCCCATTGTTATCTACACGTGCACTAACATCTGCATATGGGGCTAAAAGCATTTAGACTGACACTAGTAATTGGGCTTGGAAAATATTCCCTCTCAGTTCTCGGGTCTCTGAAGCCACTTAGCAAAGCTATAAACCGTTGATTGAACTAGCTATTTGGCTGAATTTTATTTACTTATTTATTTATTTATAAGTTTTTTAAATTTATTTGAGAGAGAGAGAGAGAAATCACAAATGAGGGTGAGGGGCAGAGGGAGAGGGAGAAGCAGGCTCCCCCCTGAGCAGGGAGCCCGATGCGGGGCTCGATCCCAGGACCCCAGGATCATGACCTGAGCCGAAGGCAGACGCTTAACGACTGAGCCACCCAGGTGTCCCTATTTGGTTGACTTTTTAAAGACAGCACTTTCTTTAGGTTTATTACTTGCAAATAATTTTGATCACTGATGCGCACAGGCACATAATACAGCAGTTTTATTGATAATATTTTTCCATTATCTTCTGGGTTTGACATTTAAAGCTGTAACAACCTGTTATCAGTCCACTCTTGCAATATTGTAAATAAGTAAACTTTACATCATATTTGCTTTCCTCTCTTCTGGTGTACAACAGGATGAGTGCTTCAACTGCAGGCGAAATAGGAATTTGGACTGCCCAAGAACACCACCATCACGACCCCCCCCTCCAGGACCCCCCAGAAGCAGAGGCCCCACCTGTACCTCTATTGAAGGATGCCGATGGGTCAGACCCTCTGTTGGAGATGCTGTTTAATTCCCGTACCTCCTAGCATACGAACCACTCCTGGGTTTTCAGCTAATGTTGCCTATCTCCAACATCATGATCGCACCTACACTACTCCTAAATCATTTCATTGCTCACGGAGAGGGAGTCCTGTGGATTCAGTTTTCAGAATGAGGCACCTGTCTAGTAGACAAAGGATTTATTGATGTTGGTCTGTATCATTCAATCAAGATGAACACAAGCCACTATTTCTTACCCCTGACACTGCACCATAAATAATGGATGTCTGAGCATCACCTCCTACCTTAGATGTGCAGTTACAGAATTCGCAGATGGACCAGTAGGCTTGTGTAGTCAGAGACCGTCCCGGCACCCCACAGCTATGTCTGTGACCGTGTCCAACAGCAGTCCTGACCCTAGATCCTCACTTTATGGACGCAAGCCTTCGCTGTACTACCACAAACAGGAACTCAAGACCATGTGCTAAGCCCTCCGCTAAGAGTCACCAGATTACAGGATCTTCTCAACCCACTGCTCAGGACGATCAGCGTCCATCCTCTGCCGCTGGATGTGGAGCGGCCCCCCACGGAGCGTGTCCACGGCCATTACCACGAGTCATCTACCCCAACAGAGGGCCTTCTGGGAGACACGGCTGCCAGCTCAGAAGACAGACGCTGATGCATCTTGACCACATGGCGAGCAGACATCTGGGAACCGTTTTCCTGCAGGCCCTGGGTAGACTTTCAACTTGGTCATCCGGAATTGATGCAGATTTTTTTGCAAGATGTGTGGCACTTCACATGTGTTATCTCATCTGAGCTTCACAAATCAGAAGAGGACACAGTCTTGGAAAAGTGAAACCATTTCTGGAAGTCCACAGAGCCAGCAAATCACAACACAGATCAAGTTCTGGCTGGTTCTCAGCCCCATGCTATGTTGCTTTTGTTTTTAACCTTTTTCTTTGAAATAATATCAGACTTACAGAAAAGCTGCAAGGATCGTAGGAGGAATTCCTACATGACCTTCCCTCGCACCCAGATTTCTGTCTGTCTGTCCATCTCTAATTTTTCTCTCCTGAGCTATATGAGAGTTGCAGCCATCACATCTCTTTCTCCCTCTGTGTGTCAATGTGTCTTTCCTAAAAATCAAGGGCTTATTTTATGTAATCAGACTACAATGATAAAAATCGGGAACTTCATACTGTGATACAACACTATTATCTAATCTGGGGGTCAGCAAACTTCTTCTCTGAAAAGCCAGAGAGTAAACACTTTAATCTTTGCAAGCCACTGGGTTTCTGTTGCAATTGTCCAACTCCACAATCCGAGCACGGAAAGCAGCTGTGGACAACATGTAAATAAGTAAGTGTGGCTGTGTTTCAGCAAAACTTTAAAGACACAGAAATTTAAATTTCATATACTGTTCATGTGAAAAATATAGTATTTTTAAAAATTTAGTAGACTTAATTTTTTTATTTCTTTTTTAAAGTAGGCTCCATACCCATCATGGAGCCCAACGTGGGGCTTAAACTCACAACCCTGAGATCAGAGACCTGACCTGAGATCAAGAGTCGGACGCTTTACCGACTGAGCCACCCAGACGCCCCGTAATAGGCTTTATTTTTTCAGTGGCTGTAGGTTTACAGAACGTATAGAGTTCCCAGAGACACCCTCACCCCCCACCCCGCTTCCTTATTATTAACACCTCGTCTTAGTGCAGTATGTTTGTTATAACTGACGAACCAATACTGATACATTATGATTGACTAAAGACCGTGGTTTAGTATTAGGGTTCACTCTTTGTACCGTACAGCTTTACAGGTTTGGACAAATGTATACTGCCACGTAGAACAGTTTCCTGCACCCCACCTATTCATCCCTTCTTTCCTCCTCCCAACCCCTGATGGCTTCATTGTCTCTATAGTTCTGCCTTTCCCAGAATGTCACAGAGATTTCATTCTTTTCATTTTGTTCCCAATCATTTAAAAATGTAAAAACCACTCTGAGCTTGTAAGTGGTACAGGGATGGGCAGCAGGCCAGATCTGGCCCGAGGACGAGAGTTTGTCTGCCAACTCCTGATCTCATCTACAGAATGTCTTCAAATTTCACCCACTGCCCTTAAAAGGCCCTTGACAGTAAAGCACAACTTCTTTCTGGTTTAGGATTGAATCCAGATCATTTGGTGCAGTTAATTATCATCTCCCTTAATCGACTTCAGTTCTTTAGTCTTTGTCCTTCATGATCTAGACATTTTTTGAAGAGTGTGAGACATTATGGTTATTTTGTAAAATGCCTCTTGATTTAGATGATCTGGAATCTCCTCATGATGAGACTCAGGCCAGCATTTTGGGCAAGAACAAAGTTCTTAGCGAGGCTGTATCCTTCTTGGTGCATCACATCAGGAGGCACACGGAGTTGTCGGGTCCCGGTGTTGGTGAGTTAACGCTGATCCACTTGGTTAAGGTGGTATGTGCCAAGTTTTTCACTGGAAAGTTACTGTTTTTCCATTGTAATTAATAAGTACTTGTGGAGAGATAAATATCATGTTTCTCATAACATATAATCTACTAGTTTTAACATCTAATGAATCTTGTTTGAATAGATGATTTATTGGATGGTTGCCAAATCATTATTTGGCAATAATGATTTTGATTCATTATTTCTTCTGTGTTTACTTGATGGGATGCTACTATAAGGAAGAGCTTTTGTTTCTCCCTCACTTATTTATCTATTTATATCAGAATGGATTTTATGGATTCACATTTGATTTAATAGACTACATGTTTTCCTATCATTTATTTTGATGCTCAAATTGCCCCAGATTTGGCAAGTGGAGGCTCCTTGAGACTGGTTCCCGTGTCCTACTGACACGTCCCTGTCATCTTTCAGCAGTTCCTTACTTTCCGGCATAAGAAGAGGTTCCAGACTCACTTTCAAATTTCTCAGTCCCAGCCTTGGAAATCAGCCTTTTCTCCACAGAGCTCTGGTTCCTTCTAGCAAAAAATGACATTTATGTATTTATGTATTTATTTATTTGAGAGACAGGAGTGAGGAAGGGCAGAGAGACAGAGAGAATCTCAAGCAGACTCCACACTGAGCACAGAAGCCAAGTTGGGCTCAATCCCACGACCCTGAGATCATGACCTGAGATGACCTGACCCGAAATTGGTAGTCAGATGCTTAACTGACTGAGCTACCCAGGCACCTCGAAAAAAATATTTATAAAACAGATCTGGATACTAGGAAATAGCAAAAGAGTGTGCTTCCTTCCTGCCTGCCTTCCTGCCTTCCTCCCTCTGACCCCTCCTCCCATCCATCCATCCATCCACCTAAAAAACCACTAAGGTCCACTGAAAACTCCAGTTCCAATTCAACACCACACGGTCCATTCTATTCTCCCCCTTTCTATATTTGTAACTTCCTTCTCCAATAATGAGAAACCTGGCTCCCATTATCTCAGGTATATTTACTTATTTGCATAATACCGTAATACATAGAAAGTGGTTTCAGAATTGCTGACCCATGCTACTGTGAAAAACAAACTTACTAACTAGCCTTCAATATTTATCTACAGTTCTTTTTTTGTCCTTAGCCCGAGGGTACATAGTCAAACATTGTGTTTAAAAGTTCCTGGGCCTTGTTCTTTGTGTCTCCCTCTGGTGTGGTTATGTTATTCATCCAAATAAGGTTAGGCTTAATTGTCCTTCTGTGTCCCGTTATAGGGTCCCTCCTCCAATCCTTGTTTCTTTCCTACTGTAATTTCTTGTTTCTTTCTTATTCTTGGTTCCAAGAATCAGAACTATACAGAAAAGCATACTGAGAAGTGTCATGCTCCCTGACTTACCTCGTCTACCCGGATCTCTCCCTCTAACTCCTTTCTGTAAATAACAATTCAACTAATGTCACTAGTTTCTGGTTTATTCTTCCTGTGTGTCCTTCTACACAAATGAACAGATACTTCCCGTGTTTCCTTCTACACAAATGAACAGATACGTGCATATTATTTCCTTTTTCCCCTCCAGAAAGTTACCATGTAGCAGATACTCCTTTGCCTTCCGTGTTTTGTTTTTTTTTTTCCACTCACTATAATCTGGAAACACTCTTTGTGAGTTCTTAGAGCTCTTCCTTTATTCTCTTCTAAAGCTGAGGAGTGTCCCACTGTGTGGACGTAGCTTGGCTTATTCACTTAGGTCGTCTCCAAAAGACAGTAGAATGAATACCTTTGTTCTCATATACTTTTGTGTTGTTGAAGTGGATCTTCAGGTAAATTCCTAGGAGTGGGATGCTGGGTCAGAAGGCAAATGCGTATGTAGCTTTGCTAGACGCTGCTGGAGTCCCCTGCATTACTAATGAACCAGCCACAGATGGCACACCTGGGCCCCCCCCACCTCACCAGTAAGCATAACGTCAGATGTTTTTGGTTTTTGCCATGTGAGCTGGCTTTCAGTGTAGTTGTAATTTGCATTTCTCTTACCTGTAAACTTTTTATACATTTAAGAGCCGTTTATACAGATAGTATGTGTGAACTACCTGTTCATGTCTTTCGCCTATTTTTAACAGTGCATTATGTATCAGGGAGTGGTAGGGCTTTATCTGTAGCATCTTGCCAATATTTTCTCCCAGTTTGTTGTCTTCTGATTTTGTTTATGATGTTTTTTTTACCATGCAAAAATGTCTGATTTTTTTTTTATATTTATGTAGTCGACTGTATCAACCTTTTACTGCCTCTTGTTTTTTGTGTCTTCAGAGCCTTTCTCTACACCCAAGTTCTACAGGAACTCATCTACTTGTTTCTGATACTTACAGGATTTCACTTTAAATTTAAATCCTTGATCCATTTGGGGTTTATTTTTATGAATGGTGAAAGGGATGGGTCTGATTTTATCTTCTTTCCCCCCAAATATCTATCAAATTGTTCCAGGATCATTTGTTAAAAAGTCTATCTTTGGCCTAGGAATCTGAGATGCCACCTTTATTATATACTACATTTCTCTACGCACTTGGGTCTATTTCTGGACCTTCTATTCCATTCTGCTAGTCTTTCCATTTATTCACATGCTGTTTTAATTATAGAAGCTTTATAGCGTGTTTTAAAATCCACCAAGGCGAGTAACACCTCATGGCTTTTCATTTTCATTGTTTTCCTATTATTGCAAATTTACTTTTCTAAACGAACATTAGCATCTGCTTGTCTAGCTTAATTGTTTAAAAATGGTATTTTTGGCATAAGTGCATTAAATTTATAAATTAACTTGGGGAGGACTGATATTTTGGTGATAGCAAACTGTCCTATCTACCAGCAGGCAATGCCTTACACTTTTTCCAGGTTCTTTTTGTGGATTTCAAACATGTTTCAAAATCATCTCATGTAAATTTTACACATTTTTTTTAAGTTCATTCATTAGGTATTTTATCTTATCTCTTGCTATTGTGATTGCATACCATAATATCTTTTGCTGGTTATTGTTTGTATATACAAAGACTATAGGTTCCTGCCCATTAATTTTATATCTTGCTCCTTCATTGAATTCTTTTATTGTTTGAATTAGAGAATCAATGATTCTCTAAGGTTTTCTAGGCATACTGTCATAACATCTGCAAATAGA